ATTTGTCTTTCTGGCGACATGATTTTATAGAATGATACTGCTTTGATGTGGTATGTTTCTTCCTCACATCTTTGATGTAAATATTTCCCCACTCTCTTTACCCACCCTGAAAAGAGATGATGACTTAGAAGTTACAACTTTAATAGTTTAGATAAGTTCTTGTAGGAAATGAAATAACACAATGAATTATTAAATATTTTCATATAATTATATTGAACCGTATAACTTCTTGTTCAAAGTAGGTGCTAATTTGATTCCCTCACTTACCAAGGTAATGTGATATCCATATCATATGAATTCAAATTCAAAATAATTAGTGGCAGCTATTAAGAGAAGGTCAAAGCTTCAAGTGGTCTTGACACTATGTTATTTATTCTGAAAGTTAGGCATGATCCTTTCTATGGCTGTATTAGAACAAAAAATGAGTGAAAATACTGATCCTAATCAAAGGATTAGGCTTAGTCTTCAGCATGGATCACGGCCCCGAAATGAGACATACAGTAAATGAAATTCCATGTCAGAAGCTATTGTATTTTTTAGTAGGTCTTCTTTATAAAGCAGAACACATAAAAAAATGAATCATGGGAATTACTAATACAAAAAAGAAGTATAAGAGCTTAAAAGGAAAATATGACACAGTGTGATAAACATAACTTATTTTAATTAACTGGATACAGAGGAAATCTGGTAAAATACCATATATAAGGCATTGAGAAATTACTTCTCAGGATTATAAAGAGAAGTGGTCTTTCTGGATTATTTCAAAGCAGAGCACTTGAAAACAACAAGGATATTTCTGTTCAGTGGTAAATCTCTAAAAACGTCGTTCTTTTTCTCCAAGTGAAAAATAAATATAAACGGGATATAATTCCATATAATATCTGACATTTTAACCACCTGGACTATTTCAATGTCTGCAGTGAAATTTGGATAGTATTCTTTATATTTAGAATAGGAAACATCAACAAGGCCATATAACAGCTTATTTTTTTTAAGTTTAATTATTTTTGAGAGAGACAGAGCATGAACAGGGGAAGAGCAGAGAGAGAGAGAGAGAGAGGGAGACACAGAATCTGAAACAGGCTCCAGGCTCTGAGCTAGCTGTCAGCACAGAGCCCGACATGGGGCTCGAACTCACGAACTGTGAAATCATGACCTGAGCTGAAGTCGGACGCTTAACAGACTGAGCCACCCAGGTGCCCCAACAGCTTATTTGTAAATAATAACTTCTGGAAAGGCTGCCCTTCCTATTCTTATTTCATAGCTATCTCTAAAATTACTGAAATATATTATATAATAAAGAAAGTAATAAAAGAGCAACTGTAACTTAGGTAATCGGGTAACAGCCATTTATATTCTTAAAATATGAGATTTCTATTTGGCAGGAATGATATTGTTTATGTGGATTTTTTTTAAAAAGCAGTAAAGAGTTTGGTAAAGTAGATTCTCTATCTTCTTATAATTCAATGAAGCATCTCACAATTTTCAGTTTGATGCCTACTTTCCCACATATATTTACATGTGTATTTTTTAACTAGATCATAACTGGTACTGTAATATGGGTAAATAAACATGCTCTCATTTTGTTCTATTAAATTTCCATTTTATTCTTTCCTGTAAATGCCCTAGTCTAATGCTCTTTTAATCACTCTATCCTTAGTTCTTCTCATTGTGGGTTCTTTTTTTCTTCTCTCAGAACTATTACCCACAATATTTCCCCAAGGATATAGCAGTATCTTTCTACAGGAAGCCATACTCCCTAATTTGTTTATTGTGGGAGCTTGATGGCTTCATTCAAGTTGTCCCCCAATTTTATTTTATTTTCTCCATAAACAGAGACTTTATTTTCTCCATAAAAACTCTCTTATATGTAAATATTACACTACTGACCAATGACCGAAGAATTAAATAGCTAACATGTATTAAGCAAATACTATTTGCTCTGGCACCCTGAAAATCACTTCAGATGTGTTTTCTAATCCTCAAAAACACTGTTTTGAAAAAGTGTTACTGTTTTCTCCACTTTTGCTTTTTAAATGGGTAAACTGAGGTAATGACAGATGTGGTTATGTGTCTAAGATCGAACAGCAAAAAATCAATAAAGCTGGACCGATGTGAGGCAGTCTGAGCCCACAGGCCTTCATAAGTAGGGCATGATTACCGACACTATGTGTTCAGATAGATGTGGTGAAAAACTTCCCTGATTTTCCAAGTATACACCACACACACTGCTGTTTAAGTCTGGAACCCTAAGCATTAGGTATTATAGAATCATTCCTATTAAAATGAAAACGCCCTAAGAAAACTACCTCTCTTTAAAATCTCAGCAAAACCAACCTTATCTGAACATTTCCAGCTGGTCTGAAGAAGACAAGGTTTACCAGTCACCAGAACAGAACCAGGGTATTTTCTTGGAAGGAGAAGTCAAGGTTATTTGCTATGTTAGCAAACTGATGTCAGAATAAAAAGCTTCAAATCTTAAAGAACTTCACGACAAAGAAAGAGACCCAGACAAACCATGTCCCTCACAAATTATACATAAGCATCTAGCACATGGTGAAACAGGGTAGATGCCCTCCTTTTTTTGTTTTGTTTTCTTTTGTTTACTGTTTACTTTTAAGAGACATAGAGACTGAGCATAAGCAGAGGTGGAGCAGAGAGCAAGGGAGACACAGAATCCAAAGCAGGATCTAACCCATCAGCACAGAGCCCAACAAAGGGCTCAAACCCACAAACCTTGTGCTCATAACCTGAGCTAAAGTTGGACACTTAATCAACTGAGGCATCCCAGATGCCATCTGTTTTTAAGTTAATTATTTATTTAACTCTGTTCAAAAAAGGCATCAAATGATGTTAATAAAAAACACAAAAGCTATGGGGTGGGGAATAGTCTGTGGTTTAATAAATAAACAATCCTTATTGAAGGTTGTAGTTAAAAGTAAATTTGTTTTTAAAGTTACTAGTTTTGGAATAAAGCAAAGGAAGAATTTCTTATATGGGCATTGGTGGCCAGTACCTAGTTAAATATAAACCAGAAAACTACATTTCTAAATGGAATTTTCATCCACTATGCATCATTTTTACATTGTTTTAGTACTGGATATCCTATCTTTCCTGCTTCCATTAAAAGACAAGTTGGGGGGCGCCCGGGTGGCTTAGTCGGCTAAGCGTCCGACTTTCGCTCAGGTCATGATCTCGCGGTTGGTGGGTTCGAGCCCCGCGTCGGGCTCTGTGCTGACTGCCAGCTCAGAGCCTGGAGCCTGTTTCAGTCTGTGACTCCCTCTCTCTCTGACCCTCCCCTGCTCACGCTGTCTCTCTCTCTCTCCTAGAAATAAATAAAACATTTAAAAAAAAAAAAGACAAGTTGGATACTCCGTGTTTACCATTTTATAGTCATATAACTACACAACTTCTGTAGAGGCATAAAGGTTGTTGGTGAAGTGATAATAAATGATCTTCAAATACTAATTAGTTATGTGACCATGGGAAAATCACTGCTTGGGTCTCAGCTCTCTGTTCTCTAAAACGAAGCACTGGACTGACTTCAACACAACGTGCCACGTTAAGCTAAAATCTACCACGCTGTGGTAATGTTTGTCCAAAGCAGACAGGACACACATAAAAGCTCTCTATGTATTAGGAGAATTAATCAGAACTACTCATAGAAGACTCATACCTAGGAATAGGCCTGGGTTAATTTCAAAAGTCAGCTCCTTATAAGAAAAACATTTAACTACCTTGGCCAAGGGAGGCAAATGAAACAAGTGAGAAATACCACACTGGGAAGTAGCAAAGAAGAAAGGGGAAAACACACAGGAGGAATAGGAATAATCAGAATGAGCTAAATATTGGGTCACATCACTCTGGCATTATGCACAATAGCAAGTACCTCAAAGTATTACTTGACTATCAAGTGGTAAAAGTCATTCTCTGGCTAAACCATTCAATCAGGAAGTTTGAACAAACCGTAGCCCATTCTATTTAACTAAATCGTTAAGCTGAAATCACAAATGTTAGCATATTAAGATATCGTGGGCTCTAATTTTTTTCTTGTCATTTAAATGGTCACAAATACACTTCCCATTTTAAGAAAGTCTTTTAAAATGTATTTATGAAAAACACACACTATCCAAAAGAAGCAGCATTACCTTTAAAAATACTAGTAAACTCAGAAATTCTATTCATCAAATTAATCTTTTCACTCAGATTTCCTTGTTGCATTTCTCACTGTGAACAACTCCAGTAATCTTAATACCCAAGTGAAAGGGTTTTTTTTTTTATTTCAAAACTGGACACTTTATAATCATTAGAAAGTTCACGAATGCATTTAAAACACTCAGAAAGAACTGAGTACAACTGCCTTAACAACCATCTCATCTGCAAATCCATTTACGGATTCAGCCACATTGTTTCTCCTTGGACCAATTTAGCAAAATCTGCTGGCTGAGGGGGCTCTACCCAGAGTAACCCGTCCGATAAGCGGATCACAGTCCATGCCGGCAATTTACTGGGTTGGATTCTGAAAGGCCAGGCAGGTAAGCCAGACAAGTGGTTTTGCAAAAACATGTCGACAGAACTTTTAGGATGATGCAGAACTCTAAAACACGCGGGATGATACAAAACTCTAATAAAACACACGCATAACTTTAAAACCCGTTCCAAGGTGACTGGAGAAACTCGAGGCCCCTGTCCCACGCGCTCTAGAAGGTTCCAGGCAATCCGAAGGTGCGGACTTTGACGGGACGCACACGGGGCGCTCCCACCTCGTCCCGGCCAGACCGCCCCTCCAGAGACCCCCACCACCGGAGGAGCCAGGCCGCGCGCGGAGCGCAGACGCGGCGGGAAGAAAGGGGCAGCTCAGGTGGCCGGGTCTCCGCGCGCGCCGGCTTCGGCAGCCCGAGCGCAGCTATCGCCGAAGGATGCGCGCGCAGTGTCCGCCGAGCCCCGGAGCCGCGCCGGCCGCCTCCCCCCTCCTGCCGCCGGCGCGCGCGAGCACCCACCTGGGGGCGCTGGGCCGCAGCGGGGCCGCTCCCGGCTCCCGCGCGCCCGGCCCGGCGCTGCAGGCAGCATCGCGGCGGGCGGCTGAAGCCAGGCAGCCCGCGGACCGGACTCTGCTGCGGGAGAGTCTCGGCGAGTTCGTCTCCGGACGCCCTCCTCGTCTGCTCACCGCGGGCGGCTCTGTCCGCCGAGCCGGAAACGGCCGCCCGCGGGCTCAGGCCACAGGGCCACCATGCGGCCTTGCCTGGACGCCCTGAGGAAGTGAAACTCCCCTGGGGCTTGCGCTTGCCTGCTTTTTAGGCTGCTCCCGTTTCCCCTAACACTCTCCGGTCGTGTTCACTCTTCACCTGGTCGCTCGGAAGATCTTAGAGCTACTGTTACCTGTTACTCCAGCTCTTGTCTCATTCTGGGTCTTCCACGATGTCCCCACTTCCGGGAAGAAACAGATATACCAGATGCAGACACTTGCTGGGAAAGGAGAATGATAGATACAGATATATAGAGCTGGTTATATAAATAAAGATATAAAGATGTAGGTGCAGATATACAGTTGAGTTTTTCTTTATATCTCATTTTGCCCAGACTTTGTAGGCTAGATTTATAAATTGCAAAGTGATTTTAAAAACCGTATAAAATTTATTTCCCTCTCCTGCTCCAAGTCAGAACTGGGTCCTGGTAAAAAGTTAGATATGGATTGAAATAGATTTTCCAAGTTAGAGTTTCCTTTGCTTGCTTTGAAGACAGAAATACTCAGACTTCTCCCAGATCCTTAAATGTCTCTTCTTCTCTCAAGGTTCTCTAACTTAGTAATTTACCTTTTGAAACTGAAAAAATTTTGAAGATCGAATTGAAGATTTGGTAATAATTCATAGTTTAAATGTCCTTCTCCTTTTTTTGAAAAGAAATCTAAAAAGGAGTGTTGCGTAGCCACTATTTATCTCATACAGTCTTTTTTAGGAATACCATAAACCATCAAAGTATCCAAAATGTTAACTTTTTTCATGTAACTCTATTTGTTTTTATAGTTTATATCATGATAAAGAAAACTTAGAGAAATATGTGAAATGTCAGCAATTTTGAAAAGTATCACATATTTTTCTGCTTTCCGGTAGTTCCTTTAATGTCATTATTAACTTCAAGTTGATTTTCTGTCCTTGAACTAACATAGCAAGAGATTTTATCTAATTTATGAAATAGTATCATACTGACAAGTTAAGTGTATTGTCTTCTATAAATACCTGTTTACTAAGAGATCTCAGTACAATAAGTAAAGACAAAGGGTTTGGTTTGCAGGAAACATATAGACCTTTGCTAAATATTTTCAGAATTCAATTCTAACTAATGTGTAAGTCTTTTTTTATACAACCCGCTGTGGAGACAGTGTGCTGACTGATGTGTTTGTGTGAGTGTGTGTTATATACATATATATCTGTATGTGTGTGTATATATAAATATATATTCATTCTTCACAAAAGATACTTCAACCATGATTTTGAGGAGGAAGAAAGAGTCATAAAAATTTCACCTTATGCTGCCCAATTAAATGTCCAAATCTTCAAAGGCATTCAGTTTATTCATAGAAATATACAATGTTCACTCCTTCCATGCACACAGAGATTTGTTAATAAGGATAGTCTTCAGATAGCAAATTGTATCTGTCATATGTATGGAGCAACCTCATGTAGGGAAAGCCCTGGACTGGAAATCAGAAGGCTGTCATTGCCATTTTGACTCTCCCCTTTGCTATCTAGGCAACCAGGGCAATTCTGAATATTTCTGAGCCTTGCACCATCATAGCTAAATGAAGAAATTGAAATAATTACATTCAAGTCTCTGCCAGCGATATAATTTTATGACACTGTCTTCTCTAATATACTTAGAATAAGATTTAAAACACACAGGATAATTAAGTACATTTTCAGTTGCTCACTTGGACAATTTACATCAACATAATCCTGGTAAATGGAAAAATGAAAGCAAAAATGTGTTTGAAATTTTGGGCTGATTTTTTTAAAACCACTTTATTTAATACGACTTTGTGTTAGAAAATATTTAAAAACCCTCCACTAAAGTTCAGAGTTATTCCAGCTTTGTTTTTGGTTTAGGTAATGAATGAGGATATAACTCTTATTCAAAAGGTATGAAGTAATGTTTAGCTCTCTTACTTGTTTATTCTTGTGTTTCATTACTGTTGCTGTTAACAGCCACCCTGTTTTGTTTTGTATTCTATGTGCCAAACACAATGTAAGTATTTCAGAATGTTCATGCCCTTTGGTTCTCAAAACAATGTGGCTTTGACCATAGTTGACAAATGAGGAATCTGGGTTTTAAAAGTTTTAAGTAACAGGGGCACTTGGGTGGCTCAGTCAGTTAAGTACCGCACACTTGGTTTTGGCTTAGGTCATGATCTCCTGGTCTCCCGCCCCACATCAAGCTTTGCACTGGCAGTGCAGAGTCTCTTTGGGATTCTTTCTCCCCTCTTTCCCTGCCCCTCCCCCACTTGCACTGTGTCTGTATCTCTCAAAATAAATAAATAAACTTAAAAAAAATAAATAAAAGTTTGAGGCACCTGCGTGGCTCAGTCAGTTGAGCATCTGACTTTGGCTCAGGTCATGATCTTGCTCGTGGGATCTGCGCTGACAGCTCAGAGCCTGGAGTCTGCTTTGGGTTCTGTGTCTCCCTCTCTCTCTGCCTCTCCTTGCTCATGCTTTGTCTCTCTGTCTCAAAATAAACAAACATAAAAAAAAATTTAAGTAGAAGTTTTAAGTAACAGAGATGGAACTGAATTCTAGATCTGATTCCATAGTTTGCCCTCTTAATTATGCTCCTCCCCTTCCTTATAAAGTAATGTAAAGTCATTGCTAAAGATTACATGGACATCATAGGCAAGGTTATACCTATATTTGTATCAAAAAGGTGCTTTTGTTTTCCTATCTACTTTCCCACAAAAAATAGTCCTATAGAAATAAACATCTATATCTTTAAGAATGGTAATGAACTGCACTCATAATTCATTATAATATTGGCACTATTTGGTTGAGGATACATAGACACTGTTTACACAAAAATAGGAAAATATGTAGAGATCGCAGAGACACACAGATTCTGTGGCCTAAGTTTTACATGTGTTCTAACTGCCCATGCATTTATGAAAAGATATTTTTGAAATGTTTTCACTCATTTGTCTTGTTTCTTAGTGCCAAGCACATCTTTAGTCACAGCTGATTTTATTTTCCTGTGCTTTCGCCTTAAGGAAGTGATACTGTCTGAAATACGAGGTTATCTCTTGTTTCACATTTGTTCTCAGGCAAGAGGCACTTAGTAATTCTCACACTGAGATGCTTTCTCAGGCAGGATGCCACCAGCAGCATGATCACAGATTTTTGATTTTACCTGTGTTACAGAATGACAAAAAATGCTAGCCGCAGTTGGTTTCTTGTTTCTCAATATATCAAACTCTTGGATCCATTGACTTTTTCCCTTGTATTCTTTTTCTAGCAGCATATTGACGGCCTCAATATCATTACCCCACTTGGTGGAGATTATAAGAGCCTCATGCTGACTCTGTTCCAATAAATGTACAGCTAAGGCTGTTCACTGTTGCCATGTTGCACTTGCCATGCCTGATTCCTTGTATCCTTTGCAGACTGGGTGTTTTTGCTAATGCTGTTGGCTTTGTTTCTACTTTTAGATTCTGGATAAAAGTATCCAGAATTGGAATACTTTTGTTTTTAAAGACAAAACTTGTTTTGTTTGTTTGTTTGCTTGCTTGTTCTTAAAGCAACAACCTGTAAAAGTGAAATCGTATTTTGCTTCTTCATGGCTATATATATATGGCCTTGAAGGAATGGATAGTTTTCCTTTTGAAGAACATATCCAGATCTTTAGAATTATATCTTATTCTCATAGAGTGTTATCATACTTCTCATTTGCGAGCTCAAAACTAGATGAATTACTCAGAAGGTCTGAACAAATCTCCTAGCAATAATAATTTTTGGTGTTACTGAAAGGCTTTCTTCATTTTCTTATCTTTCCTCACATTTAACTTAATTATTTAATACTAACCTAACTGTGTAATGGTTACCCTTTAGTGACCCTAAAGATGTTCCCATTTTAATTCCCAGGACCTGTGAATATATTATCTTATATATATATATATATTGTATATATATTATTAAGGAGGTTGGGGCTGAGTTAAGGATTTTGAGATGCGAAGAGCATCCTGGATAATGGATTATGCAGGTGGGCCCGATATAATCACAAGGGTACGTATAAGATGGAGGTAGAAAAGTCAGAAAAGAGACATAGTGAGGACACAGAGAGTGGAGTAATGAGGTTAGAATATGAGGAAAGGGACACAAACAAACAAATGCAGGCAGCCTCCAGAAGATGGAAAAGACAAGGGAATTGTTTCCTTTGCAGAACCTTCAGAAGGAACCAGTCCTGCTGACAGTTGACTTTTACCCAAGTAAGACTGATTTGAACTTCTGACTTCCAAACTGTAAGAATGAATTTGTGTTATTCGAAGCCACTAAGCTTGTGGTAACTTGTTATAGCATCAGTAGGAAACTAATATACCAAGTTCAGGTGATAAATTGAGTGGGGAAATTCATTAATAAAATGAAATTTATATTCTTCTAAATAAATTTATATTAAAGAATATTCATAGCAGAATATACATTTGTTTCAAGCGCACATGGAACATTCTCCAGCATGGATCACATGTTAGGCCACAAAATAATTCTCAATAAATTTAAGAATATTGAAATCATATTATGCATCTTTTTTTTTAACACCAATGGTATAAAACTAGAAATCAGTTACAAGAAAAAACTGGAAAAAACAAACACCTGGAGGCTAAGCAACATGCTACTAAACAACAAATGGGTCAACAAAGAAATTAAAGAGAAAATTAAAAATACATGAAAACAAATGAACATGGAAACACAACGGTTCAAAATATTTAAGATGTAGCAAAAACAACTCTAAGAGAGTGTTTTAAAGCTATTCAGGCCTATGTTAAGAAATAAGAAAAATCTTAAACAATATAACTTTACATCTAAAGGATCTAAAAAAGAAAAACAAAGCTGAAAGTTAGTAGAAGAAAGGAAATAATAAAGAATAGAGTGGAAATTAAGGAAGTAGAGACTAAAACAACAGAAAATATCAATGAAACTAAGACCTGCTTCTTTGAAAAGATAAACACAATTTATAAACCGTTAGATAGACTCACCAAAATGGAGAGAGAAAGGACTCAAATAAATAAAATTAAAATGAAAAAGAAGTTAACTGAGTCTAAATTTTTTAAAAAGTATGAGATCACTATGAAAAATTATGCCAACAAACT